AATAAACAAGAGTTTTGGTTTCCTTATGAGGAAAAGACAGTCAAACATTGGGGAAGAGGGTGAAGTTATGAGGAGCGGTGGATGAGCCGAATGGTAAGAAGGCAAGCTGAATTCCTTAGTATATCAGGGTAGAACATGACTTGCTCAATTGAGGTGTATCAGTTTCTTTGTGAAAAGGGACACAACTCTTCCGACCCCTACCTCCGGCTCCAACCTCGGGGGCCTGATCGGCTTCCCTAAGTCAGTAGCTGAGCACCATTGGAGCCCCTATGCCACCTTGTTGACTTGGTCGGGGGAAGAGCCCAGGTCCCTGTGCTGGATTTCACTGATTCCTTCAAAAAAGCCTCCCTGTTACCCGACCCATTGCTACCCTGTCAGGCAATTCTTAACATTTTACCTACAGCAACAGGGAGCAGAGGAAATGGAAACACTTGTTTCCCTGGGTTGATGCTATTCATTTGTCCCTGAAACTGGTGTTTAAACGGAAAGCAAACCTTTCTTTATACTGGAAAAGGGCTTTTCACAGTACTTACTCAAAACAAATTTGTGATGAAAAATCATGAGCCCACCCAGTGTTGACAATGTAATGATGTTCTATGTAAATAATACAGAGGCTACTCTTCTTTTATTTTTCTTTTAGAAAAATAGGCCAATCCTTGACTCAGTTGTAAGGTGCTTTCAAGAACTTCAGGAATTCTCTTTCCTTGGCAGACATTTGCTTATACATGTGTGTTCTGCAAGTGTGGGGATGACCTCTCTAAAAAAACTTCACAGCAGCCTTCGATACTTGCAGATCCAATGCCTACACAGGAGACCCAGGTGAACAAGTCCCTGGGGCTATGGGCAAAGAAACGGTGGGCACCATGTGACAGAGCAGCATGAAGAGGCAAAGCTTCCTCCTCTTTGGGAAGCAGACCAGTCACAGATGGACAAAGGATTACAAGATTATGTTGTGTGACAAAGTCACTGCATTCCCGCAGGAGGTCCCCAGGTCTAAGGCCAGATGCGATAATTTGTCTTACCCCATGACCCAGACTGTGGAATGCAATGAACACATTTTGTGACTGGCTTCAGGCCAAATCCCAGCTCCTGATTTTCTCATGTACACAAGAGTATGCTTTTCACAGGCTGGTCCTAAATCATCGAAGCAGGTGGATACTGGTATATTCAGGAACACCTCACATTTCCTTTACATTCATAAGACAAACGTAGATTTGGTAGTTTTGACCAAAACAAATGATATGGCCTCTCTGTAAGGAAATTTCTGAATTTGCTGGGGGTAAAAAATGCTACTTCGCTTCACTGTGGTCATTGAGAATTTAGTGTTGGTCACTCTATTTGAGAACTTCAAGAAGTCTTGTGTCACAAAATCTGCTCTAATCCCTGCAGTAATGCAGTTTTAACATTCAGCAACTGAGAGCCGGACAGAAACATGAGAAGGTGGAACTTCATAGGGCGAAGTCTGAGTTATCTCAGCTTTTGCGAGCCAAGGAGGAACTAGAAGGTCAGGGAGTCCTTGTGTCTGTGGAAATCGCCTACTAACAGAAAAGAGAGTTCATTACACCCGCCATGGCCTGTTTTCCAAGGTAGCTCTCAGACACTAGAAATTAAGTACGTGACTGTTCATCTCAGTTCATTCCTGCCAGAAGCCAAAGCAGCTCTCAACAAATTCCAACAGACTGAAAAACACCACTGAAGAGGTTACTAATGACATCCTATGTTCAAGGATCTGAAGGCTTAATGGTGTTAAGTTGGCAGTACTCCCTACATTGATTTATAGATTCAATCCTTATTAAATTTCCACCTTATTTCCTTGTAGGAATTAACATGCTGATATGGAAATTCAGAAGACCCAGAATAGTAAAAACAATCTTGAAAAAGAAGCCCAAAGTTAGAGAACTCACACTTCCCAATTTTAAAGTTGTCTACCAAGCTAAAATAGTCAAAACAGTATGGTACTGGCCTAAATGGAGACATATATATCAGTGGAATAGAAGTAAGAGTCTAGAAATAAATGTCCACATTCATGGTCAATTGATTTTTGACAAGAATGTCAAGACACTTAAGTGGAGAATAGACTTTTCAACAAATGGTGCTGGGACAATTAAGATAGTCACATGCAAAAGAATAAAGTTGAACACTTATCTCATACTGCATATAAAAAAATGAACTCAAAATGAATCAAAGATCTACATGTAAAGCTAAAAGTGTAAAAGCTAAAACTATAAAATTCTTAGAAGAATGTATACACATAAATCTTTGCGACCTAGAATTACTCAACAGTTTATTAGATTTGATAACAAAAGCATAAGCAACAAAAGGAAAAAATAGACAAACTGTACCTCATCAAAATAAAAACTTTTCTGCTGCAAAAAGCACCATCAAAAAGTAAAAAAAAAAAAAAAAGTCATAGAATGAGAAAAACTGTTTGCAAGTCATGTATCTGATAAGGGACATATATCTAGAATATATGAAGAACTATTACAACTCAATAATTAAAAGACAAATAATCTAATTAAAAATAAACAAAATATACGTATAGTTATTTCAACAAAGAAGATATACAGATGGCCAATAGCCACATGAAAATACATTAAACATCATCACTCATTGGGGAAATACAAATCAAAAACAATGAGATATTATTTCCCACCAACTAGAATAGAATGGCTATTATCAAAAAGGAAGATAATAACAAGTCATAGTGTGTATATGGAAAAATTGGAACCCCCTTACATCGCTGATGGGAATGTAAAATGGTGATGCAGCCACTTCAGAAAACAGTTTAGCAATTTTTTTTAGTTTTTAATGTTTAAAAAGGTTAAAATTATCATATAACCCAGAAATTTCACTTTCAAATATATATCCACCATATATACATCCACACAAACACTTACATATAAATAGCCAAAAAGTGGAAATTATCCAAAAATCTATCAACGATGAATGGGTAAATAAAATATGGTCTATCTACATAATGGAATATTATTTGGCAGTCAAAAATAAATGACATGCTGACATATGCTCCAATATAGATGAAGCTTGAAAACAAATGTGAAGTGAAGGAAACCAGTCACAAAACACCACATATTGTATGAGTCCGTACAATATCCAGAATAGACAAATCTACAAAGACAGAGAGTAAGATTAGTGATTGTCTAGGGAGGGGGAGGAGGCGTAGGAAGGATTGGTGGTAAATGGGTAATTGATGCTAGTGAGTACTAACTTTTGAAGATGATAAAAATCTAAAATTGATCGTGGTGTACAATTCTTTGAATACATTAAAAACCACTGAATTGTACACTTAAAATAGGTGAATTCTATGGTATACGATTATATCTCAATAAAGAGATACACACACACAGAAAGAGGGAGAGAGAGATTAACTGATTGCTGTACAGCAGCACTGATCACCATGGTTGTCTCATATTATTCCTGAAAGTCTTTATCCAGAGTGAAAATAAATCTCAGCATAACTGCCCTCTGCTCCAGCACCTCCTGGAGTAAGTCTGTACGGCAGTGGGTGCGGTAGTTAAAAGAGCTACATGTATAGTGGGTACAGTGCAAACCCTCTCACATTTATTGACTCCAGGACCTTGGTTCAGGCACTTAACATTTCTTTGCCTTAGCTTCCTCATCTGTAAAAAGGAGAAAATAAATAACATTTCCTACCGCATAGAGTTGTAAGCCTGCAGTAAGAACTCAGTAAGCCTTACTTATCTTTATTTCTCTAGAGTCTTCTTTGTATGCATTTTTGCTAAAAAGTAAGACCATCCTGATGCCATAATTTCCTAAATGTGACATCTCTTGTATGGAGGCCTGAGATTCTCTTTTGAAAGATTCACATTCTGAACATAGGAACCATCACTAAAGAGGATATTTAGCTCGTTACTACCAATTTCTTTTAGAGAACAAGTTGAAAACATTTTGGAGGATACTGAAGCATCAATATGGAAACAGTTCTCTTTCAAATTTCCTCTCTTCTCTAAATTTATATACAAATATAGTTAGATTCAAATATGATATATATATAAATACACATGCACACACAAATGATTTCAAAGAGAAGGTAATTGTAAAAGGAAGTTCTGGTTCATTTATCTACCTCTAATCCAGTCCCTAGTATAACAAGTTTTCACTTTAAATTGGCAAATCAGCAATCACATTTTATTTTACTTTCAGCAGAAATGGTCATCAATATGTTCAGTTCATTCGTCCCAATGTTTAATAACTGTTCTATTGCATTGCCACTTGTAGTTTTTCTTAAAAAGTATTTAAGAAGTTCATTTGCCTTTTTTTTTTTTAAGGATAGGCTTGATTTGATGTATTAAAAAGTACAAGATTCCAGTTTGCTTGGGCATTTGGTGCCGTCTTCCAAGTCTGTACATCATGAGCAAAAGCTGTGCTTCTTTAAGGCCCCTGTTAGTTCGTTAAACTTCCTGGCTGAAACCATGGAGTCACATAAATCAGGAGATACTTGGTTACAACATTGGTATTCAACCAGATTATGAATTTTTATGACAATTCTTATTATTAAAAAAAAGTAGGTTTAAAAACTTTTATTTCTAGTAATGACTATTTGCATATCAACCATTTTAATATTTGCATATTGACCATATTAATATTTAATATTTCTGTCTTAGTAAGGTGGGCTTAGTGACATTTTATGGTTCAACCATTCTTTTCTTAATGCTTAGCAATACCGCAGAGATCGCTTCAAAGCAATTCATATTTTCCCCCTGTTGCTGGCCTGAATTCTGACAGCTGGACCTTCCACGAAAGCTCAGGAGAACTGCCCTCATACAAATCAACAAAAAGTCCTTCTTGAATTACAGATGAATTAGGCCTAATAGTAATATTTCTCAGGTAAAAATCTGTCAGCTTACTAGAGACAACGGCATTTTCATTTGTGCAGTACAGCTGACCTGTGTGTGTTTCTTTGAAAGAGCAGGGAACAGCGCTAGGCATAGAGGGGCGGGTTTCCCGTTTCCTGGGCTCACCTGACCATCCGGGGAGGCAGCGGCAGTGGCCCGTGGTGGGGTGGCAGCCATCCGCGTGGCTGCAGTCACAGCGCTCGGCACAGTTCAGCCCGTATGTGCCGTCCTGCATGGAAGACAGCAATGAGGACATGGGATGTCCGACAACGGGAGACGAAAGGCACCTCAGTCAGCCATCTCAGGCACGGTCCCCCCCCCCCCCCCCCCCCCAAACACCTCTCAGCAACGTGCCTTCTAATCACCTCTTCCTGCGTCTCATTGGCCCCCAGAATACAGGCTCCAGGAGGCCAATATTTAAAGTCCCTCAAACCTTAGTTTAGCTCTGACATATGACTGGTGAAATCACTAATGTGCTGCTAGGCATACAGAGAGAGGTATGTAAATACGCCGACTAATGCAAATATTCTTTTTTATCTTACCAGAAACCACAACTTATAAACGTATTTTCTTTGCTCCTAAAGAGTTTTGTAAAATAGTTCAATGTTCCCTACAAGGCATTCTATTCTTGAGTGGAAGGGGAGTAGCCTGACCCACATAGAGAAGCTCCAAAATTTTAAAACGTTTTATAGCTCTAATCGAATGAAGTGTGTTTCTACAAGTTGCCAGTGGGATATGTGGAACTGAAAGTGAAATGAAAGTCTGCTGTTACTTTTCCTAAGCAATACCCTCCTTTTGATGGAAACATCCAGACAAAGTGAAGTGTTCCGACTGCGGAGTCTGAGAGCGCGAGGCCGCGCCAGCACACCCTCCTCCCCATCCCTACCCCAGACTTTTGGTTCTCACACGCACGGCAGTTTTGGCGGTCCAACAACGATGAGACTCTGGGGATGTGATCATTTAGTATGTGGGTGAGGAGTGGAAAGCTGTGCATTGACAACCCCTTCTCTTCCATGCCAGATCCTGAGGAACTGAGGGAGAGCGCCAGAAACCTCCCACACCCCCCAGCACTAAGGAAATCACAGGCGCACCATCACCAAAGGGGAGGAACCTGCACATCAGCTCGAAACAGGCCGTGGAGGCTGGATGGCATAATCATTGTCTAGATTATTAAACTTACTGAAGTAAAATAAATAAACCCTTTTTAGGCCCCACTAACATTTGATGGAGTTGTATGGGATATAGCTTTGCTACCATATAAGCCACCAAACCACTGGCTTGGCTAACTTAGTAATGCATCTAAGATATTAAAAAAAGGACAAGATTGTGCCAGAGGCTTTGTTTTGTCTACAGTCAGATTGGGTGTGAAAGGCGATCTTCAAGCCTAAGAGCACTGATCATTTGTCCACTGGTGGATGATAGGCAGCAAAGCTAACTTAATTTTGTCCCTTTTAAGGGTTTGCAGGGCACAAAATAGCCCAGGGCAGGCCTTTTCTGCTTTGGGAAATGGGTTGTATTTAATGAGGAGGAAGCCCAGGGAAAAAAGAACCTCCGTGGAAGGCCCTTCCTGAGGGGCTCGGTTCAAGGGGTCCCAGTGTCCTCTTGCTATCAGACATTCCCCGGAAGGCAAAGAACACGCGCCACAAAGAGAATGCTTAAGGGCTCAGGAGAAGAGAATTGTAATAGGAGGAAAGATTTATGGAAAAGAAGGAAAGAAACGTCCACGTGCTTCATTCAGAAAGAAAGAGAAATCACAGTACTACAGAACACACTTTCCAGTTGCACACTCTGTTGGCCTGCAGTTGACACAATATGGGATTTCTAATGACAAGTATCTCCAAAGTATGTCAAGGGACTGAAGTCAGCAAAGTAGGGAAATCTCTGGAGATTCTTGTGACTCCAGAGATATTTGGATTAAAAGACGGCTGTTTTCAAACCTTCTTTCACCACCTCCAGGAGCATTTCTGTGACACTATCACCACCCAGTTTGTTCCCTGCCACTTTCCACCCCAAAGGCTAGAGGATTTCCATTACAACAGAAATGCACTATTTGGAGAGTAGATAGGCATACACTGGGTGGTGGGCAAATGCTGTTTACTGGCTGCCAGGAAGAGATGGGTGTATAAGAACAGAAAAAATAGACGGGGTTGGCGGGGGGGGGGGGGGTGCTGAAAGGGGGGAGACCTGAATAGAGATGCAGGAACAGAACAAAGTGATTCTCACAAAGCTATGTAACCAATTTCCATGTCTACCCCTTTTCCAATCCTGTATCCACTCTAAGTTCAAATACCTTAATTCTTTGAATAATCCCTGAGGTTTGGTTTGCACTCAGACACTTTAAGTCAGGAAAACTGCAAGAAGAGGCTAACACTCCCAGGCATTTCCACCTGGAGTACGGGTTTGGTCGTACCTGGCAGGGCAGCTCACATTTCTCCCCGCGCCATCCGGGTGCACAGGTGCATGTCCCATCCAGGGTGTTGCAGGCTCCACCGTTGAGACACTGGCAAGTTAAGTTACAGCCAAAGCCCCATGTGCCACTGGGGCAGCTGATGGAACAGTCCACGCCATGCCAGCCTGCCACGACAAGATTGCAGAGCATGTGAGGGAACAGAGGCGGCAGGGAGTTTTGCTGAGCCTTTCCAAGCTGCTTTCCCTTTAGAAGCACCTTCAAGGTGCACAGCGGTGTCCCCCAGACGCAGCACAGAGAAGAACGAAGCACTCAGACCACCTTGTGCATTGTGTGATCTGTCATGCAGACGCCAATATGAGAAGTGCTACTGAGAAAAGAAACGTGGTATGGGGGTCCCTTTAATGCACAATGAGGCTGAGTTTTGTTCAGGTTGGGAGAGTGAAATATTCATCTGTCTTTAAAGCAGGACCCTGTTAACTATGAACACTGGGTATCTAGGAACCTGGCTGCTGCAGAGACTCTGGACATGCACCTTCTGGTGCTCACATAAAATCGGTGCTTGGCTGAGCTTCTCGTCATGACTCCATGTCAGTGCGTTTAGGGGCATGAACACATGTCTGCTTGGCTTACTCATCCCCAAAGTGAAGAGACACAGAGACTATTGGAGCTTGCAGCAACTTCAGAGATTATCACCTAAGAACGAGCCTCTTCCTTTGATTTGTCAGAGATCATCTCCTCCAAGCTTCTTCCCTTGACTCATAAGAGCAGGAGAACCCACCCTGGTTGAAGGGCTTGCTGAGACCAGGCACTGAATTTTGGCACAGCTGGACCTAGAATCTTAGTCAAGTTTTCTTCCCTGTGACTTCAGGAGATGATAGGACCAGGATCAGATGAAAGACTCTACTGCCACTCACCTGCCTTGCAAGAACACGACCCGTCCACAGGAGAGCAGACAGCATCATTCTTACAGCCACAGAAAGAGGAACAGTTCACCCCATAGGTTCCCAGAGGGCACGGGGCAGAGCAGTCAGTCCCCTAGACAGGCGCAAACAGGAAAATGCATGCAATTCTACCAACTGAAATAAGGCCAACACAAAGAAACAAAAATATATCTTGGTGATGCTAATTATACTCCCTCTCCAATTTTAACACATTGTATACTAAAATGTTGCTGTAATGTCACCACTATATGAATTTAGAGATTCAGAGGCAAGGCTAGCTGGTCTATGTTTGATACAATATTGAGTAACAACCCAAAAAAACCTGCTACCTTCATTAGTTTTCCTTTGTAGCAAGTAAAAAACCTTTTGTCCTTGCTCAGACAAGCAGATATTTAACAATAAACTGTGGCTGTAAAATTACTGTCAATAAATAAACATAAATATGAACTGTACATTAAATTGCAATGCTTCCTAGACTTCCTCGTATAGTAAGTATGTAACCTGATCAGGGGGTACAGCAGAGGAACTGCCCACATGATTCAATTTATTATCCGACAGCAAGCCTGGAACGTAGAAGTTGGTTACCAAAGGTGACTGGAGGTCACCTACTTTAAAAACAGAAGGGGCTCACTAAGACAAGGCAGATTTAAGGACTCAGCCAAAGGACTGTGACATAGGTTAGAAAACCCTGTAAAGATTCTCTCAGCTCAGAAACTTTATGATCCCTCCTTGTTCTGCATGATGTGCTCTGGGATAATCATCAATGTCATTGTAATGTCAATTTAATGTCCTCCTGTTTAAAGTGGGAGAAAATAATTCAAGAACAATCCATTTTCCTTTAAAACAAAGATTCCTGGCCTGTAGCTAAGGTAGTCTAGAATCGAGGCAAAATTCTGCTCTATTGGCATATGTGGGCATTTTTGTAAGTTCCAGATGCTCAAAGAGACCAAAAACCTTTCATACTACTCACCATTGCATATAAATACATAATAAATGCTAACTTGATATATTATGTGCATTTGAATTACAAAGGATTAAGGTAGAAACTGTTGACAATAATATATACCCTGCTTGGAAAAGTAATTTCTTTGTTGCCTATAAAACAGCAAAATAATTATGTAAAGAGTAATTATAATACATCATACTTCATGACATATATTAAATAATTAACTATTAATGGCACATTTATAGTTTTACCGGACTTCCCAGTCATCATTCTACGGTGATATAATTACTTATATCACTCATCACTAGTTTTCTCTTTCCTCTTTTTGTTGTTAAAAGAGTAAATGAATATGATGGTAGCATAGTCACCGTACTTCAGAAAAGGTCATGTAAAGTCATGGTTCCAATATGCTCCACACTGCGCCCTTGTCTCCTTCCTCCAGAGGCCATGCCACTTACTTTAAATCCCGGGGCACAGGTGCACGTTCCGGTCACACTGTCACAGTCAGCCCCATTTTGGCAGCTGCAGATCTGTTGGCAAGCTTCCCCATAGAATCCAGGAGAGCATGTCTCATTACAGTAGAGTCCCGACCAGCCAGGCTTGCAGGCACACTCACCAGACATGGGGTGACAGCTGAGAGCATGGATGAAAGGAGCAAGTCACTCTCGGGTAAACGTGACACCCAAGGCCCATGCAAATGTTGCTTTAGTTATGATCACTAAATGTGTGGGTAATCCCATGTACAATAATTTAAACTTCATTCCCAGGCCTGGTGTGATTTAATTAATTGGCTGGAACCTGATGGGTACTACAGAAATGTTGCATGAAATCGGCATCATGCTCTAAGGCCATGACTGTCACAACTGTGTCCTTTCATCTGAAGTTCGTTTTAATTTCCATAAATCAAAAGCACTGACTCCATAAAAGGTTGACATGATGAGAAGGTACAAAGGATTCCATCCAATAAATAAGGCCAAATCAGTTACTCAGGGTGATGGCCAAAGAACTCCAAAAGCGGCAAAGTTTTCAGCCCGCTTCTTCTCTCGGCTCCCCATACCTGGTGGCAGTGCAGCTGTCTCCACCTGAAACAGCAGCCGCCCTGATGGGCAGCCAGGCAGCCAGCTGTCGCCCCACAGCAAATGGACACATCAGCTGTGCTAAGATGCACGCGCCACTAAGGTTGACACAACAGGGCACTCTGTGGCATTCAAAACACATGTGCTTCTCACCAAGGAAAATCTCCATAATCAAACTAGCTCTGCTCACAATGGGAAGACTGTTAGAATGGGCTCCCTCTCCAGAGATTAAACCCTCCCCTTCAGTAGGGTCAACAACAAAATCCACTGTAGCATCCAGATGGTTGCTAAAGAACCTCTCACGGAAGGACTGTTCATAGATTTTCTACTCTTAGAAAGGAATGACTCTCTGGGATGGATGAAGACTGAGGATATAATCCTGGCTGTCCTACTACCTGTGTACCCATAGCGAAAGTACACAAGGTCTCTGGGTCTTACGTCTCAGTCTGTCAAGCGACGGTTTCAGCCACACCCTTCCAGATTAGACGGTTTGTTCTCCATTTTCAGAAATTCATATAAATATACATTCAGGCCACTATAGCAACTAAAGTCCCACAAGCAAAGTCCTAGGCATCCATCACAAGCTTTACTCAGAAAACAAGGCATGAGGGAATATCTAAGTACAACTCTATATTTAAGATGGTCACTTAGATATAAAAGGTTGGAATCGGAGACAAGGGTCTGAGTCTCAGATCTCCTTACATTTATGCAGATTTCATTACCTGCTATTTACCCATGTGCAAACACCTGGCATGTCCATGGCATCTCAAACTTAACACATCAAACACTGAGCTTTTGTTCTTCCCTTCTTTGTTTCTCACTTCGTGTCTACTCCCAACTGTCCCCACCGAAGTAATGGCACCTCCAGTCAGTCAGTTGTTTAAACTAAATCTTGCAGTTTTTCCTTCTCCCTCACCTCCCACCCCTGCTTCATCAGGAGGACCTAACCTAAGTGGAGGACCTAACTCCAAAATATATCTTGGATCCAGCTACATCTTTGTCATCACTGTTACCATCACACTCCAGGCCAACATCATCGATCCCCTAAACTCCTGAATCGCCTAACTTTCCTTCCTGCATCCATTCATGCCTCCGCGCCTAAAAGTAGATCATGTTGTGTCATTCTCCTTAAAACTCTGCAAAGGCTCCCACTACACTTGGAATTAAAAATCCATACTCTTTAATAGAGATAGAGTGATGACATAATTGTAGAAACCAGGACATTTTTAAGAGTGAAAAAAAAAGTACTAATAATCACATTAGAACAACAGTCCTAAACCAGACAGCCCCTGGAACACCAAATAGAGCATCGCCCTAAATACAGCCCAGAGGCCTCATCCTCTGGCCACTGCTTACTTCCCAACCTCTACTTTCATTTCTCTCTTATTACTACACTCAACTGCAATGGATTTGTTTTAATTTGTAAAACAAACAAAAAGGCCATGAGATTTTTCATTTTGGGGGGCCTTACGTGGGCTATTCTATACGTCTAGAATGCTGTTTTCCACTTTGCCTAGCTCTCTCCATCCTCCCCTTCCCGTCTGAGCTCAACTAGTGTCTTTTCCTTCGAGAGCTTTTCCTCTCTGACTATTCATACTGAAAGCCATCCTCTCCTGTCTTGCTCTTTTGTAGCGCCCTGCTCGTTCTCTTCATCTCACTTATCATAGTCTATAATCTAGGTTTACTTTCACAGTCTTTTAATGTCTTCCTTCCCCTCTAGACTTCGCGCTCCACGAGGGCAAGAGTTAAGTGGGTTTCGTTACCTGTGCCTGGTGTACAGTAGGCCCATAGTTTATACTGACTGAGTGACTAAGTGAAAATGTCACAGTTGATGGGTAATAGGGTCTGACTCCAGGGACCTTATATTCCCAAACTAATCTGCTTTTCCCTAATTGCTGAGTCATCTAGCAATGTTAAATTATAATCTGTATATCTGAATACAAAGACAAGATTTTCCCTAAAATTAGTCTTTAAAATGTCAAAGTCATGGCTTAAAGGGAATCACCATTAACTGCAGGGAACACTCACTTCTGTGACATTTATGATGATACTGTAAATGAAGACACAGATGAGCAGCTAGCATTACTGAGCACTGAATGTGTGCTAACATCATGCTCAGCAACCCATGACCCTAGAAAGAGTAGGTCATTCATTCAAAGTCTCATACAGGTAGTCACAGATCAAACTCAAACCCAATTTTTTAAATTATTTTTTATACCAAGGAAAAAGGAAGTTTAATAGAAGCCTGCTAAGAGAGCTAGATATGAAAAAAAAATGCTATTATTTGGGATATAGCCTAGATAAAAAGTTAGCAGGACCAGTATAAGCCTATATTGTGCAAAAAGCATGGACAAATTTAAATTTACTTCAGTAAGGCCCTATATTTGAGAAAAGGAAATGTTTCAAGTAATGGATTGGTTAAAGTAGTTTACCTTATCTAAGCATACTATAAAAAAAGGACATCTTTTAGTATAAGATATTACCTTATATTAAAAATAAGAATAATTTTCATGGTATAGATATAAATGTTAAACAAAATAGACAATTTGGAGACAGGGAATTGAACTAAGTTAGAGACAGACAGAGAAATTGATATTCAATGCCCCCCAGTGAGTATTAGTGCAGCGCACTGGTTCTCAGATTGATTGGCACCAAAATTAGTATTCTGCAGTTTGTAATTAGGTATAGGAAGCCAGAGCACTTTGGTGGCATTTGATGTGTTCTCACACAGGCAGCTTAATTGGTAATGAGATTTGCGTGCTGATGTTAGCGCAGCAGATTAGAGGCTGAAGGGTAATAAATATTCTCCAACCTCCTTCCTTTCTATAGAACAAGTGGCTTCGTGTATGTGAAAAGTAGGATTATATACATGTAGGAATACCAATCATTTTATACCCATACATAAAAAGATATCCATTTAGTAAAACTCACTGTTTAAGACTTAAATTATTATAAGTCCAATAGAATATTGGCCTAATAGAATAGGTTATTGAAATTCCTTTTATTGATTTCCTTAGATGTTATTAATATTCAAATGTAATGACAATTAAGTGACATTTGCAAATAGGCACATCCTGACTACCCACAGCTATTGAATGTCCTTAATAATATGAACTAATATAAACATCTCATGTGGAATCTTACTAAATCTCAAATTTTATTTTCAAATAAAGTCATTTGTTATCATTTGATTTTTGTCAAATGTGACTGCTACCAAGAGATCAAAATCATTTCTACCATAAAAGTTGTCATTTGAAAAGTCCAGGTTACAGTGACTGTCTTTAGGCTCTAAAACACTGTTTAAAAACAGTGCTATAATTTTAAATACTAATATCACCTATGAATATATTTAAATTCATGGGAATCCTATACTAGATGCCAAAATAAAAATGGCTACAACCCCTCCCACCAAGAGGTAGAGTATATTGCACCTGGACTTGGTTGTATGACCTCCTTAGTCTAAAGGAACATTAGCAAACATGCGATATCCGATGTTTGCAAAGTTTTTGCACATTGGAGTTTGCCTTGCCTCTTGGTGCTTTTGGAAGGCAGCCACCATACAAAGAAGGCCAAACTAACCTTCTAGATGCTGGAGACATAGGGCTCAGCCACCCTTTATCACTCAGCCAAAGACTGGACATGTGAGTGAGGAATTCCAGGCCCATGCAGGCTCTAGTTGATCTGCCAACTGAATATAGGGAGACCAGCAAGAGAACCAACAAACTGAGCCAGAACAAATAGTCATGCAAAAAATCATCAGTTAATAAATAATTGTTTTACATCACTAAATTTGGGATTGGATTTTATTTTTAATGCAGCAAACTTAACTCATACAAACCTCCAACCAAATATGTAGCTATAATATATGTCAGTGTGTGTGTCCATATAACTCAAAATTTACCCAAAGATAAGGTTAACTAAAAGTTTGCATTGTATTAGTTATCTCATCAATTATAAGGAAAGGTTGTAGGATAAATATTCATCATGAATTATGGAAGAGCAAGCTCCCCTTGCTTAATTAAATGATAAAATGAACAAGCTAGGCTTTCAATTAACACAAAGATTCTATGCCTTTTAGTTCAAAGAAACAGTATGCTTCCAGGAATTTCAAGATACAAAACTCAAGTTGATGGCTCCAACTGCAAATTCAACAAGACAGAGTCATACAATCAACATTCAAAGGATTTGAATATAAATTCGTAAAAGCTAATTTTTAAAAGTAACTTTTATTATTAGGAAAGTACTTCATAGGCTATTTGTTTTTTATCTTTTGATTGTCATATATTATTAGACAGGCTTTAATGCTCTTTCGCTCTATGTGACAGTCAAATAATTTCATGTACAGTCACCCCTCCTTGTCAATGGGTTTTGCACTCAGGATTCAACCAAATGTGGATCAAAAATATTCAGGGGGAAAAAACCCAGAAAGTTCCAAAAAGCAAAACTTGAATTTGCCATGTGTTGAGCACCATGCTGAATTCACCTGAAAAAGTGATGTGAGGACATACCCTGCTGTAGCTTACATGCAAATATAGATTATATGCAAATACAACCCTATTTTATATAAGAAACTCGGGCACCTGCTGATTTAGTATCAGGGTGACGTGGGGCTGGAACCAACTCTCCAAAGATACCAAGGGATAACTATACTTTCTTGCTAAAGTATATGTGCTAAGGTACACATGACTTCTGTCAAAATTATCATAGTATTGATGTCAATCAAATAACTGTCCATGGGCACCTGGCCCCTACTAACATGGTAGCCAGCAACAAAACCAACATTTTATCTGCTCCTCCAATTCTTCTCATAGCAGAGCACCTTTGTGCGGTATAGTCATCTGTATGACTTCAGACTGCACTTCTTTGACATGTCCCACTGCAATATATGCCAGCGTCTGGGTATGTGCATGCACACAGACACACACACTCCATCTATGCGCACACACAGGGCAAAGTCCATTTTTTGTTCCTGACAATGGTTTAAAGAAGAGACCAACCACAGGCTCCTGTTTACTTTTAATTTCTATACATTTGAGGTTTGATGTGGCCACGAGTTATCTTTTAGAATCGTGAATGAAGTAACAGCTGTGCTGAATGCAAATAAAAGTAATTGTTGTAACGTCTGAAATGCTGTATAATGCACGACATTTTTGTCAAACTCAACTTTCCCAGAAGTTTACAAATGAAACCCAGAATTCTAAGTGATATGTATCTGGTCCTTAGGGGAGGGAGAGGAAGTAAGGGGGTGGAAAGATATTTTCAGGGGCAGACAAAGTACAGTAGGGCGGGTGGGATCATGGTTTCCTGTTCTTAAATTCTTCAAGAGATTTTTGAGCTAAAAGACCCCTGCGAGTTCTATGTCAGGGTAATCAATTCTGAAGACATATTTCACATGTGACAGCCACATGTGAAGCACTTTCACAAAACTTCCACCGGTACACTTCTTCTCTACACAGATGTTCTTTCTGTCAAGTACAAGATGCTGCCGTGAGAATCATTTTGTGATATTTTTACATACTAAACGGGGCTTAACCAATCTCTCTCACTGCATCTTTTCTTCTTAGGGAATGTCACAGAATCCCTCTCTTAGGGAAACATTCTATTAACCTCAGAAAATTTAATTTTTGCTAGTAACCATTAATAGAGAATAGAATTTAATATCCACCAGCAAGCATCTAACAATTTTAGCACTTTTGATTTAGACCATCATCCACAAAGTACAAAAATCTTCCATTTACTTAGTGGCCCCTGCCCAGGACGACTCAGAGGCAGTGATGGTCTCTAAGGGTGGAAATCTTTCCTTTCAAATAGTGGACACGTCCTTCCAGGAGCAACAGACCCTCACCTATGAGTGTTGTCCAGGTGGCAAGGACACCGCTTGTCACATTTGATGCCGTAGAGCCCTTCCGGACACAGGCGCGCCTCACAGTGCTCCCCGGAAAAGCCTGCTTCGCAAAGGCATGAGCCACTCACATGATAACATTTCCCTCCATTGACACACTGGCAGGTCTCAGCACAGCGAACTCCGTAGGAACCTACAGGACACTGGTCCTGGCACCTACCAAGCAGAAGGCGGAAGCAGAAGATAGGTTAGTTAGTACCTTGTGAAAGCAGTCAATTCAGACAATTTATGCATAAATTGAAACTACTCTTTGAACTTGATATTTATTTAGTGATTATCCCTTTACAGATATGAACAACATTAAGATGAACTACTCTGACTATAGATAGTAGTAACAACAATATGACCTGATCAAAGAAATAACATAAACAAATTAAAATTAGGAGCCTGGGACATGAAACACAGTTCATACACAGTGCTTGCCAAAGGTATTTGTAATGTTTTAGTAGGTATCAGGAAAGCGGGAAAAAAAAATGTTCAAATGTTAGTCCCAGTCCAAATCAGGAAATTGAAAAATGTGTTTCCCAGGTCCAAAGAGAAAACTTTATAGCAAATTCAAAACTAAATTTTAATTCTGTTGGCTTTCATGCTGACATTAATTTTTAATCTCAGCCATGAGATTTAGATCAGGGGAGCTCTAAGCTATTGAAATCAGGTGTCCTTGATTCCACAGTGGGAGCAGGAACTGGTAGGTTGCAGGAAAGCGTGGAGTTCCCTAACACAGAATTTTTATTAAATAGGGTATTGTCCTCTGTTGGGAAGAAAAGCTGCCAAATGGCAAGGAAAAAATATCAGACCTCAAAAATTCACTTTATTGTCTTTTAAAAAATAACATTAGAACTCCGTCCCAGAGGAAGGACTGGGTAAGCTGCATCAGGTGGGACGCAGAGCTGTTGGAGGGACGCATGATAGAGAAGGGGACATTTTCATTGCTCCATAGAAAGCAGGACTCGTTCTTGGCCCGTCAAGCCTCTTTTCGACCAGGCAAGGTGATGGGATGGGGCTTCCTGCAGCAGGAGCGCTTTATGCTTTATGCCAAAGGAGAGGGGGATACGGTCTCATCTAGCCAAGCACTCGCCACAAGCAGGGCAACACTGTGAGTCTCAACAGCCACTTCCCACGTGGCTCTCACGTCATGCCAGACCCAGAGTCTAAAATGTAGGTCAGCCCTGCACTTTTCAAATGGATGCGATGCAAGAAGCAAGTGCAAAACAAATTCAAACACTCTTAAAAGCAACAGCGAAGTGGCCAAAAGGCCAACATTGTTTCCAAATGACTTTGCATAATTTTAATGATAGCGTGTGATTACTAACAATACCAGGGCTGGGCAGAAATTCTATTGAAATGTTGAGGATAAATCTTGAGAACCCTTTGGTACTTATCTGGTTGACTCTGGCTCTTGCATATATTTAAAGTGATAGGGAAAGGAAAGGAACTTCTTGCAAGTTGGGTTTCACAGACTCTAGACCTGTTTAGATATGTTTGTTCATAGGCAAAGTCTTCAAATCAACTGCTCAACAAATTATTAGATAAGTTCTGGAGTAATTGCTCTAACATTTAGCATAAAATCAGAGGTGTGCTTTTAAGTTACAGGAGCCTGCCTATTTTTAGACCAGAGTATTTTTAAAAGGTACTCTATTTTTAGCTTGTAAGAATCTTTAATAAGTGACAGCACTTAATTTATTCCTTAAAGATGTAAACTTCAGAGAAAGAAATGCTGAGGTACAATAATTTGGCCCCATCACGGCTCCACTTAATGCTAGCAAGACAACCTATCTGTCCAGATTTTTTTGCAAATCATTACCAAAGAAAAAGAAAGAGAGAGAGAGAGATAAGGTACAAGGGTTTCTCGCTCTTATATGGATTTGAAAACAAACCCAAAGGCCAAACGTTGGACTGCCTGATTGTAACTTGGTAAAAAACACAGCTCTTTAACTGCATGACCCGGGTATAGAACAGAGGCCTGGAAAAGCGTCAACTACCAAATGACAGGGAACCAGTGCACATATTTTATCATACCTTGGCAGAGACTTCCTTTTCTTTGGGAAAACAATATTCATAATAGTCATTCCTGGCCCATATTTATATTTTGAACCTATAATTAAGTATACTACTAGTTTATGCTATAAATGGCAAAAAGCCATTTGAATTTTACTTCATAAAAAGTAGCCAGGAGGTAAAGCTTGCTTCACTTTCCTGCTTCTCTTGTGCCAAGTTGCACTTGTAAGAGAATCCTGTTAATAGTAGTTGTGTCTATTTTCATCTACCAAACCAAAATGGTAAGGTGTCTTCCTCGAAGTAGACATTTTCCATCTTGAAAATAAACACAATCACAAAGTAGATTCTGCTTCTCTGATTGGCTGGATGAAAAGTCTTTGTCAAGCTGTCTTATCTATTTTTTTGGCCCCTTTATGGAAAACAAACACCACTTCCCAGTAAATTTAAGGCCTTTGCTGTTGCTTTTGTGACACCAAGTAGAACAGAAAAGCTATCTTAGGAATCAGGAAAAAAGGAAATACATTTGCTTAGGAGAGATGGCAGAGAGATGGATAAAGATAGCGCAATAAATATTGGCCACAGTAGCTAATGGATGCTAGCTAAATGGATATTTAGAGTTTCTATGTATTTTTTTTAAGATTTTAAATAATGCCCCTGGAATTAGGAAGAATAGATAAGCAACAAATAGAGATAAACTAATAAAACATGACACTGATTTCCAAACAAATGAGGGTCATGGGGTTGTTTTAGTAGCATTTCGATAATTACATTGCATCTCATTGTGAACTTGTAAAAAAAAGAAGTGAGTTTGCACGTAAGGGGTAGCAGCTTCCTCCATCTCCCTTGTCCTTTTGAGCACGATCCTTCCTAGAGTGACTGGAAAAATTAATTGGGCCAAATGATGATATAGGGTGAAAGAATCACATCCCTCATTAAACCTGGATTGATGAATCAGACCCCTGCCTTTCAAACTTCTGGAACTGCTGCTCAGGGGAAAATATAAAAAGCATTGGGACAAGAACAGACAAATAAATAAATGAAGAAGAATAAAAGAGTCTGGGAAGGAGCATATATAAAAATCATAATTTGCTCTTAGAAAAAAGATGGCACTTAAAATTCTCCAGAAAAGTTAATACGTGGCTTTTGTATAAGTGAGTGTAATTTGTGGATTAAATATATAATAATATCCTTTCTATCTTTAACAAAAATAAACTTCAGATAAATAAGTTTTAAATATAGAAATACAGATTACTAGAAGTAAATACATAGCAATATTTTTTACTAATTGGGTTGTGAAAAGCCTAAGTGGCAAAATTTCTTTAAAAAAATTATAATTTTTACTATCTAAATTTTTAAAAAACTATATTGCAACCTCCCATCTATAAATTTAAAGCATAATGAAACTTGACAATTATTTACAATACATTTAATTCAGGACTAATACCTTTACATACAAAAGGGCTCTTACAAATTGATAAGAAAAAAATAAATAGAAAAAGAAAAAGCATGCACTGATAGTCAACTTGCCCCCAGTCCTAGATGAAAGAAACAGTTCCTCCACTGCAGACCTGAGCTGCATCCCCCCAACTCCTGTCTATAATTTCTGATGTTACCTCTTGTCACACACATTCTGCTTCACTTTGAGGGTAATAGGGACACAGGAGTGGCAGAAGAGTCTTGGGTTTTACCTTAACACAACTGACCCAGGAATCTGTCCATCCAGCTGACATTTACAGAGCACCGTTGAGTGCACAGGACCCCAGCTACGCGTCAGAGGCCTGAGCGATTCCATGACAACCCATTAGCATTAAAAATACTCTTTTAATCTCAAGGATTTTGGGGAGGATCTGGAAACCATTCTCTCCTTCCTCTTGCTTGGCTGTGACACTATACATTTCCCTTATCACAATATCCTGTCAACCTTTCCACAGACTCCAAAGCCTCTCATTTAGGCACCCCCTGAGTGGCTCCGCCTGCCCACAGGGTGCCTGCTTTGTTTTTTCTGTTTGCCTTTTGGCTGGGAAAGCTGTTTCCACATCCCGCTCATGCTCTGCATGTGGTGGTACCTGCTCCTCCAGGCAGCAGCTCTGGCCTAACCTCAGTATCAAGTTATCACTCTGACTTCTCAGCAGAGGGGAAAGAGCAGGCTGAGAGGCTAGGCTCTGTCCCCACACCTCCTGCCACAAACTGCCCCATACCACACGTCTGTTTTCCTTTCATAGTGACAAATACACTTGTCCTCATTGTGTTGTGGGCATGCATGTGTGTACTCTAGAACCCAGATGGGTAGAGCCTAGTTGAAAACAGAGATCATGTTGTCAGCTCATCAGAAAAATAGTAGTTACAAAAACAGCAACTCAAGAAGCAAGTTCCCTCTTCATTTTCCTTCCCTTTCTCTGGCTCTTTACCTTCCTTGCCTTGAATCTAAAATTCACCTGAAAATAAGCTGTTATTCTGTATTCTAAGGTGAGTATAAGCTTGCCTTATTATGTTTGTTATTTTTGTGTCACCTTGAATTTGAGACTTAAATCCCTAGAGGGCAAGAAACAATTACATTTAAATTTTTAGTGCCCTAAAATATTTCATAAAACTATTATTTAGGATTCTGCTCGATCCCGTGCCTCTCCTTTCCTGACTGATCTTTCCACAATAAGATGTTAATGACACATGGAACTCATCTAATAACCTCCTCTATCCAGAATACGACCATAAACCAGGACACAGGTTGCAAAATCTTTCTTAGTAGCCTAATTACCTGTTATAAAAACCATGCAGTAAATGTGTCAATAATTCATAACATCAAAGAATTAAAGGAAAAACGCATAATTATATTAAGAAAAGATGAAAAAGGCTTTAATGAAATTAAACATATACTACTAACAAGAATACAGTATGGTATACAGCTCTTATACCATAGAAATGTACACTTGAAATCTGCATGATTCTATTAACCAATATCGCCCCAATAAATTTAATTTAAAAAAATTTTTAAAAACCCACCTGAGCATGAAAGACAGTTTACTAAAAACCAATAACAAACATGAAACTATACTGAAGTCATTTCCAATAAAATTAGGAACAAGACAGGATCTCCCACTTTTACTTCATTTTGTCAACACTGATTTAAAGGTTTTAATCAATGCAAGATTTCAAGAAAGTGAAACAGTAATTACATATATTGAAGAGATTAACTTATCTTTATTTGCAGATGATAAAATAACTTTTGCATTTACTAAAAATAACATTTGAATTAACTAAGAAATTTTGTAAAGTGACTAAATAAACAAGTGAATAAAGGGTGGGGCAAAAGGAGGTTTACAGTTGTTGGTATGGAAAACAATACAATAATTAATAAATAATAATACAGGAATAAATTCTGTGTTTTGTATACTTACAACTGGCAAAACTACTTTGCCCTACCCTATATTCAAAAATAAGTTTTACTCTATACAAAAACACCCAATTAAAAACTGAAATGGGATCTTTCAAAAATTGTAAGATGCTTACAAATAAATTTAACAAGGAAGTACACAATCTAAGTGAGGGGAAAAGCACCCTAAAAATAGCTTATTAAAAGTCATAAAATTAGAGCAGAATTTTGGAAAGAAAAAAATGGAGAATGTTGAGGGAATTCTTAGTTCATAGATATCAAAAAGAATATCTAATATTTATACAGTCCTAGACATTATTCAAATTGAAATAACTAGGATTTATACAGTTCATAGGAATCACTGAACTGTAATAATAGCTGATATTAATAAGTTTCAACACTGTTCTAAATGCTTCAATGTATTTATTTAATCCTTAAAATGATCCCAGAGGAAATTTCAATTACTACTTGAACATTATAGATGAGGACACAGCAAAATATTGCTTTTAGTCATTACACTCTTCTGCCTCTCAAGTCTCCTTTAATTTTACACACACGTCTGATGAGCTTGATTACCTTTTCTTTGGGGGTATGACAGATTAAAGAGCAAACCAGAAGACCTCTGGGTTATCAGCTTATCACCTAATACCAAAATTACCATTAGCGAGTGTAAGAACCACTTGATTGGGGTGGCGAGCATACTATACAGGGTACAGATGATGTGTTGTAGAATTGTGCACATGAAATCTGTGTAATTTTGTTAACCAGAGTCACCCCAATAAATTCAATTAAAACAAACAAACAACAACAACAACAACAACAAACCCAAAGAACCACATGAACACAGTTATTTGCTCTTATTTCACATGGGACCAGAAAGCCCTGTAAGTCCCATCGGAACTTACTCTATCACTAGAGCACAATAAAATGACTGATATTTTCTCTTTTTTTATTGTTGTTCAATTGCTGTTGTCCCCATTTTGCCCTCATTACTCTCCCCTGCCCCGCCCACCCTCGCCTCCCACATTCAGTCCTCCTCTCCCCGTACTGGCCTTGTCCATGGGGCCCTTATACATGCTCCTTGACTTGACCCTTCCCCTTCTTTCTCCCATTGCTCTCCTTCCCCCTCTCCTCTGGTCACTGTCAGCTTGTTCTTTATTTCAGTGTCTCTGGTTCTCTTTTGCTTGGTTGTTTGTTTTGTTGATTTAGGTTCTACGTAGAGGTGAGATCATATGGTATTTGTCTTTTACTGCCTGACTAATTTCACTTAGCATAATGATATTCTTAATAGACTTCTGAATCATAGAATGTAACATTATGTCCAAGATACTTTTTAAAGATACCTAAGTACACATCTCATTTAAAAATAAATCTACCCAAAAATGTTTATAAGGTACAGAGTTTGGTGCTTGAAGTGGCTGTCCTGAACACTCAGCTGTTTAGAATGACATATTCATCACAGGTTTTGAATGGCTGATATTTTTATTGCTACTATTTTTAAAGCTTTCTCTGTATTCAATTTACCATCACTATCTATGATTCAGTTTCTGTCTGAGTTGGGAAAGAATCTGTCAAATACTCTGGTACCTCATGGGTGCTGTGGAACACTATAGAACCGTCCCAGACACGCAGTAGCGGAGATGTTCGCCAGACCTTTCAAGCTTTCTCCTTTCACGCTGTTACAAACAGAAACACAAGACTGTCCCTTACCGTTCCCCCGTGTATCCTGGACTGCAATGACATTGGCCTGTGGCAGCATCACACGACCCTCCATTATGGCACTGACATTCTTGGGAACAGTTCTTTCCAAAGCGACCCTCGGGGCAAGGCTGACCACACACTGTGCCCTGCATTTAAAGAGACTTGGAAAATTAGATGGGCCTCCAGCCAGGGAAGGGCCAAAGGAGGAGGGAAAAAAGAGAGGAAACAGAAAGGGAAGGAGAAATATGGGAACAGAGTTGCAAGAAAATTAGATGAAGGGGATTTTAGAACAGAGAAACTCTGTTCATTGTCCTAAAAAAATGTTAGAAATTTTACATTGACTTATTTAGTTGGTAAGCCTAAATCTCAAGACACATTCAAAGTGGCAGAATAGTAATCTTAAGAAATGCCCACCCATATAAAAAACTAAAACTTAAGATAAAGTTACATCAAATTATTATGGTAACCTAAGGAATTTATAAATCCTTCTAAGTGTTCTTCCTTGTGTCTTACATGTACAATAAGTCAACAATGCTGATTGAGCAGCTATTACAGAAAGAGCAACATCTGGTCCAAATGGACTCTCCAGATGCTTTACCATATGTTCTAGAGAAAATACACATTATCCTTGGCTTTATTTCTTGTAATGTAGCATAACATAAGATTGAAATTCTGTGTACCTGAATTAACAATAGCATTGCCTAATAAATACTTTGAAAGGAATGAAACTAGACATTTTATTTCAGAATAAAAGCACTTTTATTTTCAGCAGGTTCAACAAACAGTGCTCAGCCAAGTTCAATAGGAAGGCTCATTTCCCCATGAGAAAACTCAAGAGGGGCTTGGGCATGTCTCCTCACTCTAGAGGCTGTCCATCTCATCATATTTATTCCAGTCCTAGGTAGAAAAGAGTAAGATGCTCTACCCGTAAATCTAGGGAATACTCTACTGTTTTCTACTTCACTTGGCGATATAACTTGGTCTCGTAGCTTATCTATTTATTGGGGATGTTGTTAGAGCAAACGACATATCGCAAGTAACAGGAATTTTAAAAATGTTTTTAACTGTTGGAGGCTGTTGCTTTGTTCTCCTTCTCTCTAAAAAAAGGCAGACTGTGGGCACTCTGAAATTGGAGGCTAGTGAGCACCAGATGGTTTTGTAAATGTTTATTCTGGAGAGCATAAGAAAATGCATTTCCTCTAACTCCTGGCTACCCACAAAGGCAGTTGGTGTGCTAATTAAGTCTCCTCTGGTGGTTTCTATCTATCTACAAACAGGGGAAGTTCTTCCACAGACTCTTGGAACTGAAAAAGCCTTTGAGAGATGATTCAAATCAACGTCTAACTGAGAATCATCTGTGTGCCAGGCATAGTGCTTCAACTCTAAGAATCAAAGATAAGGTCACAACCCTTATTAGCTGACAATGTGGTGAGGGGGACAGATGCAAAAATAACTCTAACCCCTCCATGAGCACAACATATAAACATGAGTGAAGGAATAATATACTAATGATCAAGGAATGCAGGGAAGGAGAAATATGGGAACAGAGTTGCAAGAAAATTAAATGAAGGGGATTTTAGAACAGAGAAACTCTGTTCATCGTCCTGAAAAAATGTTAGAAATTTTACATGAGAAATGTTAGAAATGTTACATTAGAAATGTTAGAAATGTTAGAACCCCTGTGGGAAGCAGGGGTTCTGGTGAAAATTCTACTCTCTCAGGGACTGACTTTAACTACTTGGTTTGTAACAGTCCCACATACGCTGCAGAGATGCCATTGAAATGTTGTTTATGAGTAAGGATTAATGTGAGCAAACTGCTTTAAATAGGACATTATTTCTACTAGTTGAAATGCATATGTGTGTAAGTATAATAGGAAGGTGTGTTCATCTTTGAAAAGCACCTAGGATGGTGGCTTTTCAAAAAATTAAATGTTACAGTAAAAGTATAAGATGGAAGCTCAGCCACACACAGGGAACCAAGACCCAAAGCACTCAGTAAGAAACATCTACTGAGGTGGGGCGGGGTTGGGGGAGGCCTGGAGTAGAGGAGATGCTCCGCTGGGCTGATGGAGACGGCCACATGCCCACCAACGGACTCACAGTTTAGGCCTGTGATTACCACTCACGACCTTAATCAAGAAAAAAAGAGCTTCAACTTATGATGAGGCAATACACACTCAATGTCCACACGAAAGTCCTAGGAGTAGAAAACCTATAGCTCCTCATTCAAAGAACCCACAGTTCTCCTCAGCAAAATCCTTCCGCTAACAGGGACAAAGCAATGATCAGTGTTGACAAAAGGCTGAATATAAGAAATGAAAGAAGAGAGAGTCAAAGATAATTCAGCATTTCTACCTGGGGCCACTAAGAGAAACATATTGGTTTTAACTAAGATTTTTTTTTTCTCAAGGTAGAAGAAGAGTAGCCTTAAGAAAGGTTAGGGTGTGCAAGTTTGGCTTCATTAACATTGACTCTGGTGGGCCTGCTTGAACCACCCTGATGTTCTTCCACGGGCCCTTGTGCACCTTTACACTGGCACTCAAAAATCGCCCTTTGGCTCTGATTTGACTGCTTCAGTGAATTTCTCCAGGCTCCTCCCCCAGAATCAGACCTTGTCCTACCTGCTTACCATTCCTAACTCCCATCTTGGGTCTGATGTTTGTTTTTCGCTTGTCCCATTGGTCTGAACATCTTGACCTCCCTTACGTCCCATGACTGTCCCCGGGAAGCAGACTCCAGCGTCCCTTCGCTCCATGCCTACAACGAGGGCAATACCAGACCAATTCCATCCTGTGTCTGGCTCCTAAGTCTCCAGCTTGGGCAACTCCCCGACAGACGGTGGCTTCATATGTGGGTAATGTAGGTTGGGGTGTCTAACAGGACAACGAGAGATGCCTGTCTGGTCAAATTAAGATCTGGGAGAATCAGCATATGATTGTTAAAGCCATGGGTCTGGGTGAGACTTCCAGAGATTTATAGCAAGAACAGAGAAGGACAAGACTGAAACCTAGATAAAACTGCAATACAGTGATTTATAGAAGGAGGAGGTTTAGGAAAGATGATCTTTAGTGAGAGGTAGGAGAGAGGATAATCAGAGAAGTGGAAGGAAAAGAGATTAAGAAAGGGAGGAGGATAAGTGACAAGGTCAAAAGCTTTAGAGAAGCAAAGCTAATGAGAATGGAAGAGTGGAATGAGAATAGATTTGGCAATTAAGAAGTCACTTCACTGTAACCATGCAAGAACAGCTTCCCACCACTCATGGAGACAGAAAATGATCATGGAATCAATTGCTCTTTTATTTTTTGTTTGTTAATGAAGGAAACAGACATTGCTCATTCATTCTTCTACTTCCACAGACTTATGCACAAACCAATTGAGAAAAATATGAACCAATATTATTTCCTCATTTCAGAGAAATCTAGTTAGTAAACCAGTTCTGACATTGTGCATTCCACAACATTAAGCTTGTGTGATGCGACAGAAAGAAAGACTATCATGGTCAAGATCAGGGAAGTGTGGTGAGTTATAGCTTCCTCTTGCATTATGATACTAAAGGCTGAAAAGTTCTGCAACACTTGAGAACCTTGGTTTACCTGACAGTGTCTCCAGATTTATTTGACCAGATAACATTTTCATATAACACATATTCTGTTGAGAATAACATTCTCAAAGAACAATAGTGACCCACAGAACATAATTATGAAAATGATTATTTTCATATGTCCAGGATTTAACAGCTCTGGCTGCCGTGTGTTAGGATGAGTTTATATCCTGAGGGGAAATGCAGGACAGATGGCCTACTATCTTTTCCATGAGGACCCTTTGTGTACTTCAAGTTCAGGACTGAATCGCCTTCTTCCTTCTCTGGACTGAAGCATTCTAGCTCTGAAATGGTTGGGTATATTCAATTTTGGGATCTCTAAACATCAGTATGACTTTATTTTGTGCTAAAATCCTCTGCATGCATTTTCACTTGAGTTTCCTGAAACAGGTGACTTTGGGAGGGAGGAGGGGCGCTTACCAGCCAGCCAGGAGGGCAAGAGCACTCCCCCGTGACGTGATGACACACTCCTCCGTTTTGGCAGGGGCATCTCTGCTCACACTGCGGACCGTGCTTGCCAGGGGGACAAAGATCCTCACAGCTGAGGGATTAACAGGCAACAAAGAACACCATTATTTATCCAGCCACACAACCCTTAGGTTCACAGACACAACAGCACCCCGGGCCCTAAACCAGACAAGCTTTCTGTATTCAACATTATTCATTTCATTAATTTCAAGAACATTAATCATATTGGCTCGAAGGGTCCTTGAGGGGTCACCTAGTCCTTCCCTTTGTTTTGAGATATTAGCTCATGAAACCCATTCAGTCTGCGGAGAATCTGTCCTATGTGAGACACCAAGGATGACTCGTAGTTGGAAAAACACTCCTCAGTGTCAGGAGCTTTCCACGTAACTTTTGTAAATCCCACGTGCCACGTTGGAAGTCTACTTTTGTTTGTGCATTTGTTCTAATCTCAAAGGAGACTGAAACGTTTGCACATCCCTGCCTTGTGCACATATTTTTCATAATCAGTTTCCAGCATTCTCTCCCTCAGGCTGACCAGTTTCCATGCCTTTAACCCCCTGCCCCATATTGTGTGAACAAACCTTCTTCTCGAGGCTTTTGTCTTTTTTTGCTCTCCTGTGAAATTGCTCCAAGTTTCCCAAAGCCTATTCAACTGCGGCCTTGATAAAAACCCATAGAAGCAATATTAACAATTAAATAGTTTGGGATGATCATTCATTCTTCTGAAAATCAGAGTTTTCTAGGCTAATGCACTTCTTTCTTTAGCTCTACTTTATAGCCCTAACACTGTCAGCAGGAAGTACTTACTAATCAGCCCCATTTTTCCCCCAAGTTCTAGTTCTGTGATTTACCAGTGTAATTTTCTCAGTAAGGGAACAAGATTTTTCTATCTCCTACTTTTTTTTTTTTTGGCAAATTCTGCTTTTTATTCCATTTGCTAATACAGATGCTCCTCCACTTACAAGGGAGTTACATCCAGATAAACCCACAGTAAATTGAAAACGTCATCACTTCAAAATGCATTGAATGCACTTAGCCTACCTAAATTCAGAGCTCTCATACCCTACTTAAACATGGTCAGAACACTTCCATGAATCTACGCTTGGGCAAAAGCATCCAACACAATGAACCTGCTGTAGAGAATCAGACGTTTACCCTCGTGCCTGGGGAGCTGCGGCTCAGCGCCACTGCGCAGCATCCCCACAGAGCATCCTACCGCGTTAACAGTAGTCCGAAAGAAGGTCAAAATTCAAAACAGTAGAAACCTTGCAGTATGGTTTCTACTGAATGTGTATCACTTCACACCATCCTACAAGTTGAAAAATCATTAAATTGAACCATTGTTAAGTTGGGGACCATCTGTACAAGCAAACTGAAGAATGTCCTTCCCTCCGAAGAAAGTAGCGGGGGTCAAGTCGTTGCTTCATTGTTCTCCAGAAGGAGTTAAACTATCCGTGTGTGCACACATATCCTACACAGATGTGATATACATACTTTACATTCACAAAGCAACATACGAATCTATGGGCGTTAAATACCCCCCATAACAGTTGACCTTTTATCATGGACTATTTCTAACATCTTCTCCTTTTCCTCTTTTCTAAGGCACTGAATCCACCCACAGAGAACAGAGCAACATGGACTCCAGGAGTTTAAAAGGAATGTGATTGTGGGAGAGTCAAAGTGGAACTTCCAATCTGTTCCCAACAGCCCTCACGTATTGCCATCCAGTACACTATCCTGCCAAAGCGAAGCATGGAGTCTGGCCCTTAGATTCCGCTGGGCTCGATGTTCTGGGGTCCAAGAGCAGGATCACCTCCACCGTCACTGCTGACCTCCAGGTCTGTGCCTGGACTCCAGGCCTCTCGCTAACTCTTCAGGCAGCAATGGAACAATGGAAACAGAAGCCCAGGAATGAGATGGCAGCAGCAGCACGGGGTCAGGGTGAGCACTGCCACGCTGCTCAGCAATATGTCACTTACAAGGCTCCAGTGTATCCGGGTGGGCAGCGGCACTCCCCTGTGACGTGATCACAGGTGGCTCCATTCTGGCACTGGCATCTCTGGTGACAGTCGTTACCGTAGGTGCCCTGCTCACAGCGGTCCTCGCAGCGCCAGCCCCGGAAGCCTGCAGCACAGTGGCAAGCCCCCGTGATGGGGTTGCACAGAGCCCTGTTTTTGCACTGGCACCGGCTGCTGCAGTGCGGCCCCCAGTGGTCACCGTCGCAGGCTGAGGTGGGGAAAAAAACGTGGATGGCATCAGAGTGGGGGATGGGTAATGGCAAGCTCTTCAGAATCAACTTTCCTCTCCCTTGGAGAAAATGGCTGGATGACCCTCTCATCGCCATTCCTAGGCATCAGGGCCCCAGTGCCAACCCAGGGCAGTGTCTCTCGCACTAATGCTCAGCACTAGGCGAGCCACTTCCTATCTCGCCACTGCTTAGCGTGGCCACATTTTCCAATTGTCTTCACTCAGCCTGGTCCCCGCACCTGTAGCGCTGAATTTGATGTGGCTAGGGTGGCCGGCCAGGGGAGGGTGTGAGCGCTTGTGGGGGGAGGTGAGGCTGGCCAGGCAGATGGGAATGGTCAGCTCATGCAAGGGCTTAAATGCACACTAAGAAGTTTGTACACATCTTTTGGACAAGGAATTTATAGGAAAGGACTTTAAGCAACGAGGAACACTGCAGATGTGTTTCATGGTGAGGTCCACTGGCTACAGAGTGAGGAAAGGACAGGAAGGAGCTGACAATGAGAGAATAGCAGTAGCTCAGGAGCTCGGTGAGCGGCTGACCTCAGGCAGTGACCAGGGAGACCCAGAGCAGACCCACAGGCAGAGCTCCGGAGGACTGGGCTGGCCCCACTGCAGGTCTGGGCCCATCGCTCTTAACGCAAACAGCCCATCTGCTTTCAAGGTATCAATCAATTGGGAGGTAAGCAGGAAAGGCTGGGGAAAAAAATTGACTGAAGTGTTTCAATTGACCGATGTATTTGAAAAATAAGACAGCCCTGACACAGAAAATGGACAGCAAATAAAGAAATAATAGGTGCATGAAACCAGGTAAGACAAAGGCAGAAAATAACATTTGGAAGATAGATTTAAAAGTACAGTTTCAAAGGAAAGGAAGAATGGCTGTAATTCAAGTCAATGAGGATGACAAGGGAAGGGGAAGAAAAACTCAATCCCAAGCAGTCTAAAAATTATAAAGGGTGACAATAAGCAAAACCTGCTCTTAATATGCACTGCCTAGCCAGCCGTGCATCTATTTATTAATTAGATGCTATAAAAATCACTAGGGAAGATGCACCCTACCTAGAGCTCTTAGGACAAATTGCTTTTATGATTTAAAAAAAAAATGTTAGTTCATAAAAAGTTTGTAACTTAAACAGATCTGGAATAAACTATTTTTAAAAAAAACTAGGCATACAGCAAACAATGTATTAGATGTACAGGATTCATCTTCCAATATGAGCACCTACCTTTCATTCCATAATATCAAAAGGTTTAAATGAATAATTTTGTTTTTAATCAATGTGGCTTTCATCTCATTAGTACTTTAATAAGCATACTTTAATAAACACATTTTAACACAATTAAAAACAATGAAACAAACTTATTGAACCTAACGCAGATTAAGAAAGCAATTACCTAAGAATTCACAATCTTCTTTCACAAAATAAGATTAGGAGCTAGTTTCAAGATGAGATTTAAGCCTAATTGTTAGTCATATGATTTGTTTCTTTTTTTGCCTATGGATATGGATAAAGTAATTTTTTTTTCAATTGTAACTCTCTCCATCTAGGATGTATTCCTTAAAAAAAAAAAAAATTACCTCTTACGTTCCTTTACACCCTCAGCTATCCCAGTTAGAGAAGAATCTAGCCTGTTTTTAAGGTCCACCAGAGTAAATTCCATAGTCCATTATAACTTGCTCCCTGGTTCATTGACCCTAAGAGTAAGGAAAAAAATCTACATTCCATGTAAGCCGAATCCAATATCCTATTATTTGATCCTTTTTTCTCCTCTCTTCCTTGTGGTATAATTGGTTCATCACTGTTCTCTTTTTGAGAGAACATGGATGCATCTTTGACCTTGCTCTTTGCTAGACTAAACACCATAGCCCAAATACTTTTACCTAGTTTTTAAAAGTTTATTCTGCTTCACTCATTTTCTTTGCTAAACCCTCTCCAAAGTTTCCATATCCTTCTCAACTTCCAGGAGCCTCAGATATTACATACCTATTTTTTCCTTATGTATAATGGAGGGTTAATCGATTGACATAAAAAAAAATTTAAGCGAATAAAATTACCTTCATAAGGGCACCAAGATCAAGTCAAAAGCATTCAAACAACATGATGAGTTACTCTTTTTCCCCACAGTGACACAGAGTGGGCCGGAGCCCATACATTTTACGGAATATGTTTGACAACAACAGGCGAGTGGGAGGAAGAGGTGCTGAGGGGACAGAGCTGGTCCCTCCTCTCCTACGACCCATTTCCACCTCCTCTTCGTCAGCTTCTGCCCAGCAGAGCAGGCAGGCAGAGACCAGTTCTGTTTCCTTGGGGTTCAATTATTAAAAAAAAAAAGAAAAGAAAAGAAAAGAAACCCCTAACTATATCTCATGATAGAAGCTAGTTTATAGTAGGAATTGATAACTATCAGCATCAAAGAAAGGGTTTCCGGCTTTTAAAGGAATATTATCATGTCGATGCAGTTGCTGTCCTGGCAATCACTAAGCACTGTGGTATGCTTTGAAGTGACAGTTTCTCCCCGTGGGGCTGTATTTCCCTAAAAGGCCACTAATACATGGGCCTCCAAACATGTTCATTGGACACCCACACGGACTATACTGGGGGGAAATCCACATATAGAAGTTTACAGGCGAATAGGCAGGAAGTAGAAGGAGTAGGACACAGAAGCCTGGCTTGAATTTGGCATCACTGTGACTCCCTTTCCTTTCTTCAATATGTCACGTTTAACCACTTCAACACACCCATTTTTCAATGTATCCCAGTGAAATACACAGTTTGTTGCACAAAAACCTGCTTTCTTCCCTGATAACTACAAATGCAAGAGTGTGTTGACTGTGTAGACAAGAGGCAGAACATGTTCCTTATGTTTAGTGCGAAGCTAACCCTGAGTTATAGTACTGTGCTTGGAAAGACGGTTTCGAGAGAATCTGATCTCTAATCATCTGATGTCTTTTACTTAACACTGTGCGCTAATCTCAGTGGCAAGTGTCCTACTCCACAAGAAAGAGTGACTGGTTTGTTTACCCACATTGACCACTTTTTTTTTTTAATGTAGTTAACATTGAAATAGCCTCAATATCCTAATAGGAAAAGATAAATGAACAAAATTTTGTTCAGATTAAACTGAAAAAAAAACAAATGCAAGTAAGGGAGCAACGACTCATTTTCAGCTCTTCTTGTGCTAACAGCTGGACATGGACTGCCAGGCGCAAGGTGCCCGGGTTGCTGCAGATGCTTCAGGAGACAGCTTCCTGAGGGTCCCAGGCAGCACGGGCAGCTTGCTCTATTAAGCTCTCCTAATAAGTTGAAAATAAAAGCAATTTATATGGCTGAGCAGTATCAGAAGTACACAGCCCATGCTACAATGCTTGGTGACACCTAGTAGAGCATCAAATCCTCTTACCCTAAAGCCCTGATGACTGTAACTTCCAGTGATGCCAGGAAGCACAGGTTGCATTCATGGGCTGGATGTTGCAATTCACTCTGATAACTGATAGCACTTAACTGATAACACTTAAGTACCCGCCATGTGCTAGCCATGGTACCAAGCCTGGAGTTGAAAGAAGAACAAAAGGGCCTGCTTCTACAACCTTATAGTTTAGTGGCATCGCATTACTAGGCACTAAAATAGCCCAGATAAGCAGTAAGGTAAGGATATGGGCTCATTGCAATTGAAAACACAGAAATGACACTTAACCAGTGCTGGGGAGTCAGGAGAGGCTTCCCAGCTATGTCTAAGCTTGGACTTACAAGCAGAGTATGCAATATTTAGGTAAAGGGTAGAGGATTTGTCATACCAAGAGCAGAGGCTGGAAGGTGAGGGAGGTTGCAGGAGGTGTTACATTCAGAGAGAAATTTATGTGCAACCACCAAAAGGCTTTTATATATCAAGTCTATGAATGCCTTCTTGGACTTCTACACTGTTGTATCGTGGCCATCATGATAACTGTTAGCCATGTGCACAACAAGAAGAAGTATAGAAAATAAGTAGAGATGGAGAGATATTAGACATGTCCTCTCCCTCCATCTGTCCTCCCTAGTCTTTTAAACTCAGCCCAGAAACCTCTGTTTTTCAGGTACATTTCTTGGACCCAATCTGAGATGCTCTCCAAAAACAGCATTATTTATACATTCTATGCCACCCACTTATATCTCTTCATACCTCTCGAATAAGACTGGATTTCGGAGGTGCTTAGACACACAGACAGACACCCTTTCTCGATCTCAGCCGTTGGCAACAGAAGGTTCTGTGCTGCCACGGCACAGCAGTCACCTGGCTGACCATAGTGGTTAGAAGCAACCTGATTTCAGGGATATCAAACTGCGAAAAACTGTGCACGCTGACTCATGAAGCAGGGTAATAGGAACGATGAGACTGATACAGGGAGGACAATAACCTTCCCTTTCTCGTGGAAAACAGCACTCTCAAGCGCTGCTGTGGGAGGACGGGCAGCCACGTCCATTTTAGAGATTAGTCTGAAAAAGTGTATCAAAAGTCCTTCACTCACAGATTCCTCTTTTCAGATTTTTCCAAAATAAATAAATTTATGTGTATAAAGACAATAACAATGTACAATAATTAACTATTTAATAACATTTACTGTGCACCCATAGCCACTGTTCCAAAGCACCTGAGACAGATAAACTCTCACAGGGACTCTATGAAGTATTGCTATTTCTGTTTCATAGATTAAAAACACTGTACTCCAGGTGATTTACTTCAAGTTACACAGGTAGAATGCAGTGAGGCACAAGACCTCCTCTCTTGCGAGCCTGTATTCTAAACCACTGCACAGGTGTGGGCAAAAGTAGGTTTACAGTTGTGAGTGTGCAAAACACAGAGTTTATTCTTGTATTATTTCTTAATTATTGTATTCTTCATTTGTATTATTTCCATACAAACAACTGTAAACCTACTTTTGTCTACCCCTGCATTTCACCTCCTCCAAAGCTATAAGGATGTTTATCCCAGCACTGTTT